CGGTAGGGCAAACTTCCGCAAGCGATGTATTCATCCACCATGGTCACGCAAGGGTAGAATTCAGGGGACGGTTGTTTAACAAGAGCTTCTTGGCATTTCATTCGCCAAACGTGTCTTGGATTCGCGTGCTACAAAGAGCGAACGCGACGCCCACGTAGTGTTTGGCGCTGTTTTTCCCGCAGGATGTACTGCGAGGGCAAGGGAGTCGACAAAGTCGATTTCGACGAGGCCAACAAGGTGCGCCCACGTAAATCTCTGAGTAATGCAGGTTTCAAGATGTAAGTGCACCTTCGCCAGGGACCCAGCACGTCAATCTGGCCTTGAAGAAGTGAACAACTAAAGGAATAGCTGGTCGTTTCCCTTTACATGCGCTTTCTCATTCTCCCTGGAGCAAGCTCTTCGTCCTGTCCTTTGTTTTTGGATTCCCAAGAGGTTGCACAACTTCAGTGGTGCTGGAAAAAGGCATATCCACCGTTGAAATATCCGTATTCGTACGCCGACTGCAGCTTATATCGAGCGAGCCTGCGGAGCCTGCTCTGACGCGGAGGGGCGCCCTGTTACGTTGAAGACCATTTTGGTGTCCTTTGTCCTCACGGCCTACATCACGACAAATACGTCGGAGGGAGCGGAGTCAAATTGGCGGGTGTATGGTCTAAATGTTAAGTTTGCTCTGGGGTAACCACGCCTTCCACTCCCAACAGAGCACGTCGCTCACGATGATCCCGAGATCGCACCAACACTCCCATCCCCTATCTTATCCTGCGGTCGCTCTCATTTCGTTGCCGTCATCTCACTCTGCACCCTTTTGCGCTGGGTGTGAACTACCGTTCTCCGACTCCGATCTGTTGGCGTTGTTCCGGTCGACCGCGTTCGGGGTGTGACGCGCAGTGGTTCCACCGAGCCGCCGCCAAGGGGAATGCCAGAGGCCAGCATCACCTCGGTGAGCCAACCGGGAGTGCGAGCTGTTCTCCAGGATGACAAGATACGGTTTGTTCGAACACGTGATTGTTTGTCGGTCGACCGTTCCGTGGTTGTTCGGACTCTGTCTAGTCCAGGCAGGACCTGGGGGTGCAAGGCGTAGATCGCGGATGGGCATCGTTCAGGACGAGCACGTGGTGGCATTGTAGTACGATAGACCGCTCACAATGGACTGCGTACACGCTGGACAGGCTCCTGGGCTATGGCATATCGTGCTCGGCTACCGCACGCCAGCTCAGCAACAGGAATACCCCCGCTTCTTTCCAGAACCATAATGTCCCAACAAGCATCATGTCGCCCGTATTTTCGTTCTCATCACGTCAAATAGGCCGTCTTCTTGGGTCCGTACTTCTCATGTCGGACTCGGCATGCTTCGAGACCGACAATCACGTGCCCCGTTTCGAAGCCTCGTAACAGTCCTTGTGGAAAAGCGCTTTGAAAATCATCTACATAATAGCTAGATTTTTCGCTACCCGGCTCTGCGACAAATGCCCATGCGGGCGACCAACTGGCGCAAACCGACGGATGGCGCGCATTTGCACCTCATCGGACATCGACAGGCATCGCGTACGAGTACGGTTTGGGAGTGACCAAGGACCTCCGAGAGGCGGCTCGCTGGTACTCCCTCGCGGCCACGCAGGGGCTGGCGGAGTCCAACTACCACCTTGGCCTGATGAAGGCCCACGGGAGAGGCTTCGCTCAAGACCTCAGCGGCGCCGCCATTCACTTTCAGAAGGTACCCCGCTCTATTTGTACTGGGGGACAGGGCGGTCGTCACCTTCGTGCTGTCCCTTATCCGAAGTTGCCCAATTTCGGTAGGCTATAGTGCCGTGCAGAACGTGTGTCTGGTTAAGTATGAGCGACCTGACCGTAAGAAGGACAAAGGAGGGTTAGGATGGGTCTCCTATGGCACTCGCAGATCCTGATCAGCTTCCATGTTCGGAAAAAGCCGCCTCACCATTGTTGTTTTTATGGTGAAGCGAAGCATCCTATGACCCGTGTCACGCGAGTTCGGCAACGCCCTTCCCCGAGGGAGCGAATTCTGACTAGGTTCACAGGACAAACTTTCGAGAAGGTTCTTTGTGCATCTGAAGCATTGTATCGCCCCTTTCGAGAGGCTGCAGTAGAATCCGTGGACAACGTAGCAGTTCTCGACTGGTGATGCAGCAAGGGTTGTTCATTTGGTGGAGGAGTTGACTCCTTGATTTTATCTACCGGCAGCGTCGAACCCACCCCAGATCAACCGATGCGAACTGCCCGTTCGGCTGCACACCCAGGGGGCGCAGCAGCGCCATGCCCCCTCGATGATGTACTTGGGCAAGATGTTCCTGTACGGTCAAGGGTTTCCCGTGGACTACGACATGGCTCTCCTCTGGTTCGAGAAGGCCGCAGAGGAGGTAAGGGACAACTCCGACCCAACTCGGAGAATTTTAGCTCGGAGAACGCGGTAGGAGTACGGACAGGGGGGACTCGATCGACCTCGCCTATCGTGACATAAGGTGGAGAGATCACGCACGAGGAAACTGTCCTCATCGACAGCACGAGACGAGATTCTAGCACGACAATGTCCATACAAAGTACTAGTAGTGGTTTTACGGAAGGCTTGGACGGGCTCTTCTCTTGCCCTAGAGGGCCATATGACGACATGAAGTCACTGAACGGGCTTTATTTATCAGTCATGGGAGTTTCAGGCATCCATACAAAAAGCACAAGACTCTCGGAACGCACCGGAATACAAGAACCTGACGGTTCATCTGAGAGGAAACCCAGCCTCAATCTCGCCTTGACCCTCCCAAAACTGCAGTGACGCTTGTCGAACCCGAACTAGCCTCCCCCCGAACCCTCCCCGACTGTCATTCAACGCTGATGTAGGGGGACCCACCATTGTCGGACGAGGCTGCCGCGGCACGGGACGAGCTCAGGTATACATGATACCTTGTCGTACGGCATACCTATCACTGTTTCTACTAGACGTGTTTACGTGTTTACGTGTTGATGCCACCCGCAAGTTCTAGCACGGGTTACTCGATGCGCGCGGCCGTAGCTGGGAGTATTTACTTTCGGGTGGGTGCTTCACAGCGCATCGCCCGTAGACGTCTGTAGGAGGATGTTACCATATTTGTTTGGTACGATCGGCGCATCGTCGTAGCCTACTACGGCCCACATATAGTTCAATCGGGAACAACATAGCTGGAAACACTTCGAAGGATGACAAGTGTTATGGCAACTGGATCCACCCCCTGTGGTCCGTTATCATCCCGTTGCGCGCGTCAATAGTTTACACGGGAGGCTGATTCACGGTTGGTGGCAGACAAGGCCCCAACCTACTATGTTCAGTGAAGGCGGAGCGAAAAGGGTACAGCAAGCCGTGCCGCCTGTAACAACGCAAAAATACTAACGGACTCATCGCCTACTGCATGCCCTTACCTGAACGTGTTCGCAAAACCCTTAGGGCCAGCCTGCTGGAGGCCCAGAGGGTAAATATGGAACTCGTCGCCGGTTATGACTACGGGCTTACTGCTGAGCAGAGCTAATGTCGAAGGCTCACCTCTGGTTCCGGGAAGAACAGAGTGTTCAAGGGGGAAGGCTTTAGGGGGAAAGGCCCGAATTAGCTTGGGCTGTTGGAACAACGCCTCTGTTTTCCTGACCCGCTCAAACCTGCGAGCAAAACCCGAAGGCAGCTGACTATAGCCATCCTCTCTTCATTGTTACCAAGTCAAGGCTGTAAAGCTTATCTCGATATTCTTGTTTCTCGTGGCACAGGGAGACCCGCAATTATCCCCCAGGCCATTCGCGTATTGCGTGCTTATTCTTCAAGCGCGAACGCTTTGGAGATTGAGGAGATAGGGCTGTAGATCGTTCACGGAACGGTCTACAGAAAGGTCGAGATGGACGACAGTTCATGTTGGTCTGGCGGTGTCTAGCCGAAACGTCGCCGTGAGAGCTCCTCCGCGTGAATCGTTTCATACTCTCAAAGCGCTGTCGGACCAGTGGAACGAAAAACTTGGGTTGGAACATCCGAAGAATACAATGACGAACAACAGCAAACAGTCCTGCTCATGGTGTGTTATGAGGTCAGGCAATTAAAGGGGTCCTTTGTGTCGCGGGGCCGCGGGTGGGGCCCGGGCACTGGCTCCATCACGGGTCACCCTTGAGCTCTCAAGGAAATTTGATGCGTGCGCCCTGCGCAGTCGGACCCCTTGCTCGCGGAGGTGTGCGCTAAGAACAGGGCGAGAAAAAAAACTTCCAGGCGCAATCGCATGCTGTGCAAACCAACACAGTGGCCGCCTACGCACGTACCGGTAGAAGATACGCCCCGGCCAAACTCGTATCGCGGGGCACGACGTTTCATGAACCTCCAACGTTTAGCTATTGGTATCGAACCTCCGGTTCACCGAGCAACTTCTTGCGGTAGAAAAGAGCGATGCGCAGCGATAGGAGCGCGTGCATCTTTCGAGAGCAGCGTTTCCAACAGACTGACGCGAAAGACCCGAACAAATTGTCAGAGCATCAGGTATCCAAAACATATCTTAGTGTTTTTTTCTCCCATCATCGGATTCTGTCGACTGCCCCTCTGGCCCCTATCCTCCACTTCTACTAGCTAGACGACCCAATCGGGGTCACATTGGAGGGTGGGGCTGGACCCCCTCCTGCGGTTCCTGCCTGTGGTATTTTTATCGCGAGAAGGGTACAGCAACCCGTTCCCTCGCGACTTACGAAGTCGATTATGGTTTACTAACAACGAGCTTTGCAACGCGTTGCTTTCATCCTAGACCAGGATTTATTTAGTGAGAAAAAAACGCACTCTGCCGGGACTCGATCCCATGACCTGGCCCTTGGCAGGCTGCGAGGTTACCCACTGGACCATCGGGGCGACCGGTAGTACTACAGGCAGTACACGGAGCGCAGATATCGTTCAAGTACGTCACTAGTCACCTGTCTTGTTAGACAAGACAACGACAAAACGGCGTGTAATACAACATACGCCGAGACAGCTACGCACACATGAAACGAAAATCGCCGACGCCAATGAGAATGCCCTTTCACTGTTACGAGTAAGGTCCCTGGAGTGGTAAATAACCGTTTACCAACGGAGGTATTTCGCTCTTATTGAGATGTGGCGAGGATGTGCCAAGCGTGGTCGATGTGGTTCGGCCGTGCTAGAAGGTGAAAGTGAGAGTGAGCCTTGGTGGGCTCTTTCATGCTCCGGCTGGTCACAGCAGGCGGAGGTTCTTTCCTTGTAAACATCTGCAGACCTGTAGAACTGTGTTCGTAGGGTCTCAGATCTTCACTGGTTGTACGTGTTTCAGTACCGTTAGGAAGATACCTATATCCAGGTTTCCACAGACGTCTCTTTCCCATTCCAATGCCACGGAAACACATCCCGCCGAGCCTCCTTCTTGGAGGCTACCTTTAGCACACGTTGAAATGAACAAGGAGCACCCGAAACAGGTCCTCGACCAGAGCTACACAACATCCCACCGGACGATCACCGGCCAGTGCTCCAGCTTTAACTTGATGACACAAGATACTTTTGAACCGCTGCCATAAGGCAGGAAAGTCTGCAGCGCACATCTCGTACTGTACACCCGAACCACCCCCCGTGTCCTCGAGGACAAAGCTCAAACTGTCGAGAAGCAGAAAATGCCCTTTGGCCCGCATCTCTACTACTGATCGGCACATCGGTTTCGGCCATCATGTTGTTACCGCTCGTCGAATCTTGGAGAACGCTGTGTGCAAAACGCGAGGCACGAAAAACGGGCATGTATGCATACGCGACTTGGCATACAACCGGCCAACTGCGGCAACTAGGAAGCATCAACAAACGCAAGACCGCCGCAAAAAATACGAAGAAATTTGCCAATCCTTTCCTCTTCATCGCCAACTAAACCATCCCCTTTTCTTAGTCGCCGTTCCGGCTGCAGATTGGTCCACTTCGCGCGACGCATCGGGCGTTGGAGGCCCGGTAGCGGTGGCGTCGAGGGTCGTGTCGGCGCGTCGTGATGTTGGGGTCTGTTGAGAGGGCCGCGCGTCGGGGGCGGGGACGGGCGGGGACAAAAGAGTTGCCTTGGGTCTGTAGAAGATGGTCCGCACACCTCACTTAATGAGAAGTAGCAGCGGTCGTGCCGTTTCGTTACTCTCGGTTAACGGATAGGTCTCAGAGCACCTGCGGTACCTTCCGCGACTTTTTTGACACCGGCATCTACGCTCCAACTACCTGTGCAACCGTGTGGGGTGTAACCAGGAGATACGCGGAAAAGAACAGGACGAACACCACGGGCGTGCACAGGTGAATTTTTTTCTGAGAAAGGAAAGGTAATCGTAGCGTGAAGACCAAGACAACACTGCGAAGAGCAAGTGTTGTTTTACTTGCTAGGCTTATAAGGGGAAATATGGAAACATTGCAATGGACCGACTGATACTGATACATTGCCTCTTAGGTACACAAGAGGACCTCGGGGTCATACAGGGTGTTGTTTCGCATCCCCTTGCTGCCCCTCGCCGACTACCCTTCTGCCGTTTGACGGCTTTGCTATTGGTGCATGTACGTGAGGATGTCAAGTCGACTGCCTACAGTAGGTTGCCGCACCCACGCTTACCCTGGTGACCGATCCCGCAGCCGCGAGATGCGCATCAATTCCCGACCTTGTCGCTGTGGTTTGCCTCTTGGCCTCCCTCTCCTCCATCATTTTAACGATTTCCTTTCCTGACGGGAGCTTCTTCGACTCGGGCGGGTACTCAACAAACTTAAACTTTCGGTTGATGAGGCGGCATGTTGGTGGCGCGGGCGTGGGGGGGCGGGGGG